ACTTGCAGCTGAGTGTCGCCTTTATATAGCAGTCGGCTGCTCGCAGACGAAAGCGTAGAAGCATCGAATTGTTCGCTATGGAAGGTTCTTGTTTTATCGTTTCTAGAACGTACTAGTTATCGGCTTCTCTCTTTCATCTGACATTCGCCTCGCATTTTCGCAACAATATGTTTTTGTCATTCCTCTTTGTGTTTTTCATACATTTTGACGTATCGTTAAGCTGTGGTGCCACCTTGTGCGATGTCGATTATCGTAACAACTGAGTTAGAGAATCGCATAATCGTTAGCGCAAGCGACAAAATTCGCAACTTTGCGATCCGACAAATCGTGCCGAAAAAGTTACAGAATTGCACTGCTGGTGACTGTAAAACGCACTCAATTCGTTACCGATTTAAAGTTCAATAGAAAATATTTTGAACCATACAAAATCATAGAAAGATTGCCTCATGGGCGTTACACAGTACAGAAACTTGATGAAGCGGGAGGCCTAGCCTAACATCAATAGTGGCAGAATACATGAAGCCATGGTGTTAAGAATTCGGGTCGAATCCTGAGTCAGGAGGGCCAAATTAGGATCGACGGACGCACGTATGATGACTATAAGTGGACGGAACTTTCCAGTAGTACATTAGTACCAGAAAATACAACACTGTGAGTCGACAAAAGGAGAACGAACAAAGTGGCAAACGAAACGGACAGAACATAGAACGAGAGTTTGAATATTGGCATCAACCAGTAAAGATTAAACATCGCAAACTACTGTAATCGTTTGAAAATTACTAATGAAATCATTGAAATAAAAATAATTAAATAGAAATAACAAAATATTACCGCAGTTTTTCTTCTCTATATTATCTATTATTTTTTAAATTTCATCCAATTTCATTTGATCACTTATTTCGCAATCAAATAATCGAAATATAACCATATTTTTCCGTTTTTATTAATCTTTATTTTTAAGTTTTTTTAATAACCATTCAGCATAAACTCTAAATGATAGAGTAAGCATTTCTAAGTTTTTCGAATACCATGTAAAGTTGTAGTGGAAATGGGTCTTCCAGTTCTTATCTAAGAATGATTTATAAAATTCACTCATTTTATCGGCGGAGTCGTCGTTTTTGACACCATCCATGGACGTTTTGATAAAATCTTCTCGTTCCTGAAAATATCAAAAGACGAAAAGTCTGTATACTCATAAAGAAAATTACAAACAAAGTATTATAAACATAATTTACAAAGTGTTCTTAGAAACGAGTAAAACTTCAATTTAGCTAATTAACTATCATCTGTAATTTTTACTTTCCTTTATAGCAAACGAGCTATCGACTAATCGGAAGCAGGGGTTATATAAAAAACCGAATAGATTCACTACAGTGACCACATTGTCCCCATGGACTATTCGACTTCTTCTTCAAACCTGTCTCAAAAACAAACTGCATACCTCATAACCTCTTCAGCGAATTACAATCTCATTAAGTTCATTCATAGTCCATTCGTGATAAAAAAAATGCATTGTCACCATATCAACACAACCTCATAACCTTTAAATTTTAAATCACTATTCGGTATTTACAACATTTTAGTAAAATTATAATTTTAGTTTGACAACCAATAGCATTAAAGCAAGAAAGCAATACACTCACACGAGTAGCACTAAACATATGCATTTTTTTTTTTACCTTTCTCCGCTGGGTACATACATATTGAAACTACTTAACTTTTCATTGTTCTTTAAATTTTTTTATTTAAGAGCACCCCATATTGTACGGAAAATTCAGCTAATGGAGTAGGTTGGCTGGAACGGACGATTCTCACCTTGCAGCAAAAGCAGATCTTAAAATATTCAGCCAAACTTTGCGAGGTACAACAGCATTTATGTAGATATTAACAACATTTCAATTTTTATTTTATTTAGACGCATTTAAACTTCAATATATATGTATGTACATATACATATTATGACGGAGGCTTTCGTATAGCTGGACTTCTGCTTATCCGGTTTAGCTTGTCTATGCTATATAAACCATGTACCTATATGTATGTCAAATATTGAAATAAAGACTGAATCTTTTGGCAAAGCTGATTTACTTCGACATCAATGGTGTCGATCATTTGTGTCCGACTTATACGGCACCGCTGTTTTCTTATGATATCATGTTGTCGCTCAGCTGGGTTTTGTTTGTCCGATAAGAATGACGAAAATGCTCAAGGAGATGAAATTACGTACACGTACACGTAGGACGAAGTGAACGAGATTGAAAGACATTTCCGGAACGTTCCAAGGGTTAAAACACCTTCTTTTGATGGAACGATTCCTTTCAAGGTAAGCTACAATTAGAAGACGCCTATAATGAACAACTCTAGTATGGAGGGTAAAACTGCAGCCTAAAGCAGTGTAAAGTCCTGATGTTATGAAAAAGTTGCTGAATACGCTGAGATTCCGCAAGGAAAAATGTTACCGCCAAAAAAGATTAGTGACGAGAACAATAGGAAATCAACACACTTTTCCAGCGACTGTTTGACATAGTCCATTAGAGGGGAGAAGGGCCGAAACGCTGGGCTGGGGAAGAATACCACATAATAAGTAGTACGCAAATACTCTGAGTTAAGAATGATCGAAGAAAGGAGAATACTCACGGAAACGGAAAGAAAACGTCTGGAAGAGTGAGCTGAAATTGTGCAAAAATCTGTTGAACAGTGTACCCAGGTTGTGAGCGGTAGCGTAAAATACCATTATTGGAATGGTCCGTACAAAGTTTTAAAACGGCTGAAGGGCATGGTGTATTCAAGGCAGACCATTGGTAGATCAAAAAACCAAAGATAGTGGTTCACTTATAGAAACTCGCAGCATTGCATAAAAAAGATGTGGCAAAACTGCCAAGTGAGAAGGAAAGGCCGGTAACTAAAGTATGTTCTAAATTGAGCGCGTATATCGATAGCATACAAACAGATTCAACTAAAGCTACAAGCGAGCAATCTGTAGCAAAAGTCCTGATTGTAGTTATAAAGGGAATAGAAGCTTCGGTTGACTCAATTGAAGTAAAAGAAGCTCTAGGAGGGAAAGATATTGATGTTAAGGTGTTAGTAAAAATAATTAATAGGAATAAAGTACCCATGTTTAAAATTTTCTTACACCCAACGTCGCTTAAGTAGAATGAAACCCATACCATTCACAATTTAAAATATCTCTTCACCGCAGTTACCGTAGAATAATCACTTAAGCAAAGTAGTCCCGTCAGGAATTTGGGCATAGCCAACCAATTGATTGCAGTCAACTTCTATAGCTCTTAAAAACAAGGGGGTAGACTTTATATTGTCCGCCAAGCTTCGAGACAGACAGCTGTAACAAGTTTCAATGGGAAGCACACTCACTGGGGATCTCAACGGATAAACAAAAAAGGTCGCCAGTTATATAATACGATTGTGAAAAAAAAAATTTGTTTGATTTAGACACCCTAAGACAACCAACTTACTAAGGAAATTACATGACATAATTGATTTTACAGTCACCCAAAGCGTACATAGTAACTTAGCAATTGTTGAAACCCTTAAAGACTTATTCTCAGGTTTCTCCTCAGTAATAATAAAACTGAATGAAGAGCCAGTTGAAAGTCAGTATCCTTTTCTTCATAAGACATCTAGAACTAACTGCCTTGAATATAAAAAATACATAAGCAGTCATATAGAGACAACCTTAGGTTTCGGTAATAAGAGAGAGAATATTTAGGAGTAGGAAAGGTGGTGTTAAATAATACCCTTGAATTTATTAATAGAGCCGCTTGGCTTTTAGGGTGTTATCTCCATAGAAAAAATTAGAGGTGATGCGGAACGACCATTCCTAAAAAAAACGAATGCCTAAAATTACGCTGAGGAAATTGGTCGCTAGACCAATCGGAAAATAAAGAGTATATATGGCATTGATAACGAAGTAGTTGTATTCAATAGTATGCAAACGACAGCAGCAACTCTTGCTATACCGAATCAAAAAACCAATCTAACGGCCGGAAAAATTAGCGATCGTCTGATGCAGAAGCCCGACTTAACACGGCAGAAAAAAGCTAAAAGGTATCGATTTACCTCTTATCGCTTCTACTAAGTAAGTATAAAACTTGCAAAAACCTTAAGCCGTTAGTAACTACTGAAGCACCCTTGAGACTGCGTAAACCTATATAGGCCAGAACGGATGAAAAAATCGCCTTGTTTTGCATGGCTCTTCAGCACGGTGTTTCAATTAAATACTCCTACGAATAATGCACCTTTGAAATGAGAAAAACTTTCGAATTCAGTGAGTATTGCTCGACGGTTTTTCTTGATGTGGCGCAAGCATGTGACAAGGTGTGGCATGATGATATAGTTCATAAAATTAAATAATTATTAAATAACAAACTCCACAAAACCCTCGGATCCTACTTATCCAATAGACAATTGCGAATAATAATGATATAATAAGTGGGCACAAATTCCCCATTTTACCATTTACCATAAATGGCACATAAAAAAATTAACTGCAAACACATAAATTTACATTAAAGCCTAAAACATCCTCTATTGTCAAGCCTAACAATGTATCATTTCCGTAAGATAACGAAATTACATTAGCCAGGCGCTTAATCTGGACTCGATACGACACATTTTCGTTCATTCAAAAAAATCACGTTGCCTTTTAAACAAGAAATCTTGACTTTGCCTTAACAACTCACCCTCCTATACAATGCAACAACAACACGAAATCCAGATATGGGGTACAGCTGCGCATCGAATATAGATATAATTCAAATGTTCAAATTGAAAACGTTAAATAATGAAAATATCCATAGAGCAGATCCAAAAAATAAATAGTGATTACGAAACGTTTAATCTAAATCATAAGAGTTTTTAAATTTTTTGATCAAAAACATCCGCTATTTTGTTATTGGGTTTTTTAATACAATAAAATTGTTTAATCAAAAATAAAAATTGTTTTCAAGATAGTTACTACGGCAGGTGAACGGTGAATTATCAATTGCAGTAGATGCTTCAAATATTGCTATTGGAGCTGCTCTACAACAAAAGAGTAATAACACATTAGAACCATTAGCATATTTTTCGTGAAAATTAACTTCAACTGAAATTAATTATTCCGCATTCGATAGAGAACTTTTAGCAATATATAATTAAATTGAACATTTTAAACATTTTCTCAAAGGTAGAGTTTTCACTGTTTACACTGATCATAAACCACTTACACATGTTCTAAATTCTAAAGCGGATAGATCTCCTTGTCAAATTAGACATTTAGAATACACGTATATCGCTCAATTTACTAATGATATTAGATACATTTGTGGTAAGGATAAAAAAATAGCTGATACTCTTTCTCGTATCCTAGAAATTAATTCTATTTCAACAAAAGACATTCATTTTCAATTGCTTTATGAAGAACAACAAAAAGATTAAATACTTAAAAATATTATTTCAGATCCAAGTGCTAATAGTAATTCAAAAGAAATTAATGTACCTATTCTAAATCTCAAAATTTGGTGTGATATTACACTAACACCTTTTAGACCATATGTTCCTAATTCAATGAGAAAAATTATTTTTGAAAAAATTCAGGTTCTCACAAAATACACACTTCTCCACATCATCCACAGTCAAATGGAATGATTGAAAATTTTCATCAAACTTTGAAAACTGCAATTACAGCTTCAAATGATTGAGCTCATTGGTTTGAAATTTTACCGTGGTGGATGGTTCTTTTAGGTTTACGAACAGCGATTAAGGAAGATCTTAAATGTTCTTCAGCTGAATAAGTCTATGGTCAAACACTGAAACTTCCAAAACTTCGTTGGTTTCTGCGGAACAACCGACACCAACGGTATGGGAAAGCGGTGACAACTTTGTGTTTACATGGCGCTCTGATAAGATAGGTTACTATGGACGGCTGGAACGCGCGTTGGATAGTTGCAGCCTTACTCAAAATCCCTCAAATTGAAGCTGAGAGCGTTCCCCCACTTCACATTCTAATGTTGGCAGCAGTGTCAGATCGAGGAACATTCAACAAAATGCACCAGTACCACTTTGTCAATAAAATGAAGCTGAGATTTGATTTAGTTTCAAAAGAAATTGGTTTCAGCAGTAAATATTTAAAAAATTATTATAATTTCATTTTTAAAACTTAATATAATTAAGTATTTTATTGTTTCTCAATGACATCTTTTAGTAAAATTTTAATTAAAGACGTCGTTGTTTGTAATAAAATACCGAAAATGTACCTAAAAATCCAAAGAAGCGATTTTTTCATCAAAGTGGCACTGTTCAGAAACATTATAAAAAATGCGGATTTTGAGCGCTCTCACGAATTAAAGACTCTTGAATATAGTCATCAATATCTTAACTATTTGATTGAATCGTTGATACCATGAAATTAACTTTGCCAAAACCGTGTTCGTTGAGAAATGTCAGAAAAAATTAAGTTTTGTTCGTTGATGAGATTGGCAGTAACAATTTTTACCAAACTTTACTTGATAGTGTTCGTTGAGCCAAAAACTCAGTAAAAATTGGTAACAAAAAACGGAATTTTGACGTTTAGATGTACAGAAAGTTGGAAATTCATGAGGGGAAAATTTGATGCAGTAAAAACTAGTGCGCATGGAAAAAAGCAGATTTGTAATTATATGATTGAATTTTGGTTAACAAAAGAAAATTTATTTAAAATTAAAATATCTTCAATTTTTTAATATGAATGATAACCAATAAAATAAGTGGTCAAATGTAATGATGTAAAATATAACTAAACAATATAAGTGATTCCAATAGTAAACGCTCTCGTTAAACGAAAATGTGGTGACAGTGGTATGGAATCATCGCCGCTAAACATTGCAAAGCTGTTGCTTGGTTTTTATTAAAATAGAATCGAATAAATTCTAATATAATGTAGAGTTAATATGGCCATCGTGCGCGAAAAATAATTTTAAACTCATTTTCGTATTTCAGTCATCCATACTAAAAATCTTAGCGAAAAATTGTTGCAAAACAAGTTTTTCAGAAATCTTCGTCTTTTTAGAGAACTATTAGAAAAACATATTGGTATCTTTATCGGTGAACGGCTATAAAGCATGTAGAAATACAATATATTTTACAACCCTGCGGGTTAGGGGCTGTCGTAAGAGGCGACTAAAATCCAATAGTTCCCGCGACAGTCGGGTCTTTATACCGGAACGACCCGGATATTTATCCTGTCAAGGACTGTCACTCCCGAAATATTCCCCGAAAACCATATATTATATTTTAAATCCAATAATAAAATAAATATGATATATAACTGCGAGTTTTATTGAAACACTAAGGAAAATATTTAAAAGCCGAAAAAATAAAGTGTATAAATGAGCGGAATTAAATTTAACCGCCAAAATAAACAGCTGTTGTCCAACTTGCTGGCTAATTTTTACTGAATCCTGTTCGGAGATCAGTAAATTTCTTTCTTTTGGTAAGTAAACATCTTACTCTCTCAATTTCCTTACTGGCAAACTTTTACAGACATTTCTAAACGAACATAACTACCTCTAATTCGTAGTACCGTTTGTTCTAAATGTGAATAAGCCTTTTAAGTTTAGTAGATTTATTTATAAGTGCACGATGACTTTGGTTCATTTTTATTTATTTTTTTTTTATAAGAAATAGCTGTAAGTCTAAAAGTAAGTAAATAATATAGAACAAAACGCAGTTTTTATTGAATAGTTTTGGTTTTTTAATCAAATATTCAGTGGTGAAAAAGCCTTTCTGAGTTTGAGCAGGAAGGAGTTCTATGTTTGCGTTAAAATCGCATGGAAATAAAAGAAATTTGTTAAATACTACGGCACCATAGAAATACTATTAGTAGTTTCTTAAAAATTCCGTCCCAATATGACAGTGATCAACGCTGTTGTAGAGAAACAAAAATCGACGCTCGCTGCAAACGCGAAATTCAACGTCATATAGGTTAAAAGATTACAAGAATAATAATTTGTCAAAAAACACATCATGCCCCTAACTTGAAACACCTTTTTATGGTACCTATGGCCGCGACATACAAGCGCGTGTTTGGCATTTGAAGTCAAATACCAGTTTTGGGATGGGTAGTGGCTTCGATGGCCCTGATTTATATAATAAGTACTGGCATCACAAAAATATTACTCGGCGCTTTTGCCTCCGTCGGGTTCAAAAACTCCGACTTGTTGATTGGGGTTTACAGCAAGATGATCCAATTCACAGTGCAGCTCTTAATAAAGCGTTTGTTGCGACCAGAAAAATACCGGTATCGGACTAGCCAGCAAAAATCCGGACTTGAACCCCATTGAAAATCTGTGGTGAATTAGGTTTAAGAATGAACATTTAACTCTGCAAAAGAACTAAAAGTGACAATCCAGCAAGGTCTACTATGGTCTACTATCAACATGTCCACGATGAATTCTGTGGTTGCGACAATGTCATCTCGTCTGACACAACTCAAAATAAAAAGGGAAACATATTAACTACCAATATTTTAATTCATATCAAAACATTTAATTTTAGGGCTAAAAGAAATCATTTTAGGACCATGACTATGATATCTAATTATTTTATATTACATATTTTTTATTCATTCTTACTAATAGTAGTTTGGGAATATGCAATTATACAAAAAGAAAACATTTATGTTTTGAAATCGTGCACATATAATTCCTTTACTAAGGTATCTTATTATATAATTAATTTATGTTCCACCGAATTCTTTTTTCATCAAACAATTACATATGGTATGTTCGAAGGACTTATAAATAACCGACATGAATATAATCACAAATAAATGTTACTTTCTAAAATTTTTAAATTGGTCCATCGTATTTAGAAAGGCTTAGCTTGAAACAGTGTAAGGAGCACACAATTGGGCAAACCTAGAACCATCTTTCAAGAGGGCACACTACAAAAATGAATGATAATTTCACACTATTTAATTTTGGTGCAATGTTTTAGGAAAAAAAAAATCTACATATCTGTGGCTGCGGTAGCGTTAACACTTAAGCACCCAAAATGTGAGTAAATTAAATCCTCGTAATGTAGTATCTTAAAAAACTTCAAACGCTAAAAAGCTAACGCAATCCTGTTCGAAATTAAGCTTCGACAATTTTTTTAGAACAAATAAAATAAAATATACAATATAAACTACATTTTTGTATAATTTTCATAAGAACTTCAAATTTACCAGGTAAAAGCTTTCATTGTGGCGTGCCCAAAATTCATGATTCCATTTCTCAACCTCTTCCTGCTTCTGTCTTAGTCGAGATTGTAAATCCGTTTCATTCTTTGCGACATGTCTAACATATAATCTTATGTTAGATAATTTGTCCGCTGGTCCAACATAATCTGTAGACACCTTTGTGGGATCCGGTTTTTCTTTCAAATTATGCTGTGTGCATCCATATCTGCATATATAGTAGAGGTCACTAAAATTTCTAATCGGAGTCTTCACCTTTCTTAATAGCATATTTAATATTTATAAATCAATCTGGAAAAGTCAATTACTATCAACATTCAATATTATGTTTTTGTTCGTTGATGCATATTCTTCAACATCTGTATGTACAAGCGAAAGAGATGTCGCTGGTGTCGCAAAGTCTGGTGAAATAAGACTTGCGAACAAGGGTTGCCCAGCACCAAAAATTGGATACTCTAATTTAATACTTTTTTGCCCTTCGGTACTAAAATTGTTTTTGGATTTTTAAATAAATAATTTTTCACGCTAAATGCGTTTATATAATAAATATTTTATGAACATAATAAAATAATATTTACTTTCCGTTAAATTGAGAATTTCTATTTTGTACCTTTTATATTTTGCCCTTATAAAGGCGAAGTTTGACTTTTAATTTCATCACTTGGCTTGTATGGATCATTTTCGCATTCAATATATTTTATCAAACTATTGGATTTTAGTTGCCTTTCAGTAATATACATAACAGAGAATGTCCGCCCCTCCGAGTGCATTTTGGACATAACTTACCGGCTTTTCGTAAAAAAGCTGTTAAGTCAGCCGTTCGGATGCGGATTAGTATAAACTGTTGGTCTCTATTTGTTGAGAAAACATCTATACGCAAAACCACAAATTGAAAGAGGAGCCTTCGCGGTTACAAAGCGCCAAATATATAAATATGTTCAAACATATGCGCTGTTTCGTACGATCAAGGCGGAAGTGAAAAGTTGTGTTACTAGTAATGATAAACTTTGAACATCTTCATTTATCTTGCCATCTTAATAAACAAACCAACGATTATTTATATACAAAGCTATAATATTTCTTTTAAAATACCTTTTGTGTTAGGGTAAATGAAAAGTAGCTTATTAACATTCACTTGTTTTCAAAGTGAGCCTCTGTGCAGCACTACTTAAACAATAAGCATAATGAAAAAAATATTAATATCATAATTACAAGAGTTTTTACTTATAAATGCAACATTGTGCCTTACGAAATTTCGCCATGGTGGCTTTCAAAATCTAAATTCAACTCGTTTCGTAAACACCTGATAGCTTCCTTACACCTCTATCCTCTGTTTCTACTCTGCAAGAAACAACTGAAGTAAAAACAAATATTCAGTTTCCATCAATTTTATATCGATTACAGTATCGAAAAGCTTATCGTTCACGGTTGAATGTTGCTCGAATGCTTATACGGCTTTTCCACGGTATCGTGAATTACATTGTTCGTCCAATCAATTACGGTTGCTAAACACCCCATTCAAAAGGAACGCAGTTTCGCTGGTTTACTTTTTTGCACCAATTGGAAACAAAGGAAAAATTACAGTTCAAGTAGGAGTTCTTAAAAATTTGATTTGATTTGGTGATACTGTTATTAATTTTATTGGAACAAGTGCAGAATACAGACCGTTAAGGTAGATCAAAATAAAAAAGTGGGTTTGGTCCGCCCTGTTTTCTAGATTTTAATGATATACATCTTTTCTGGGGAACATTTTTTTTCAGTTGATATGGGGCCCAAAAAAAAATTTATGTTAATAATTCATTTTGTTTAACCTTAAAGGTCTGTATTCTGCACTTATAATATTTTATTCCTTATCATTTAAAAGTCCTAAAAACAAATAAAGTCGCTATTAGGAAAGGTGGCAGGCTTCCGTACACACCGGTAAAGCTCAAAACAAAAATATACTACTTATTTGATTTAAATTGTGGATTCAGAGTGCAAATAAAAAAATATTTGTTAAAATCAACCCATTCAATCAGAAGAATAACATTTCCATCTTATTTAACTTAATGACCGCTGGTGCATTATAACTTTTTTAATAATTTCTAATGTTTTAATTTTCCGTATGTAAATAATATTGGTTTCAAAAATAAGATCAACTCTAAGGACCGTTTTCACCATCGGAACTTGGTGAAAACGGAAATATCTCATCAGTCTATCTGACGGTAGACTATCCTCCGGTTAAAGGACATTGTTAAACCGAAATGAGTTCCATGCGATAGATAACTTCAACCTACCTTATATCCTTCGCCGTTCGCAAATCGAATTCGTCTAACGCAAAACGTTCCTCTCTAAAACTCTTAACATCGGCACTTCAGATGTTGTCATCGTCAATGGCTCGGCACCATATCGCAGGACAGAAACGATAAGCGACATGTAGAGTTTGGTCTTCACACGTTGAGAGAGGACTTTAATTTTCAATCGTTTACCTGCTGTAGCACCTATCGACAAAAGAGATTATGCATTCAATTTCCAGGCTGACATTGCTGTTGGTGTTAATGCCTGTTCACAGCGTTCTTGCCCTCGTTCACTACCAGACCCACATTCTTCACATCCTTATCCAGTGTAGAGAAAGCAGAACTCACGACGTGGTTATTGAGGTCGATAATGTCAATATCACCATTATTTTCTCCAGCAATAAATGAAAGAAGTCAACCAGCTGAGAAGCGGCCCCTTCTCCGGCACCTAGGGGCCGGACACTCCTGGCGCATGCCCTAAAATCGTGCAAAGGGGACATAAGGGTTGCTCATTTTTCCGGGGTGCGTGACGTGGACGCAAGAGTAGGAATTGGGTATAGTCCCGCGACTGTAAATGTTTACCAAGAATTTTGACTACACCCCATTACAGGGGAATTAACTATGTGCTTACAAGAGAGTTACTAGACTGTGTGTATATACGCGAGGTACCTTCTTCGAGTTCCTTCGAACAAAAAGACACTCCCGTGTTCAATTTAAATTGTATAATGTTTTATTTAATTTTTAATTCAAATCTTATTTTTTGTATGATGACAAAATATATTTTTTATACAATGTCCGCTATTTGTATATATATACAATTATTATATATATAATTATTATTATATATAAAATTATTATTATATTTTTTTATTGTTTTTCACCCCGTTGCGCGCCCTTGATTAGAAAATCTTATATAGCTGTATGCGCTGATGAAGGCTCGTTAGGGTGCGCACACAAAATTAGGCTGAATTAAACCCGTTGCGTGTGATGGAACCAGCGATTTCGTGGAGGCCGAATATAGTGCTGGTTTACTCTGTGGTTCTGTATGTTATTTCCGCTGTTGCATATTTCTTCGGAACTGCGACAGGTTCTCTTGGTATGAGAAACCGTGATCCGATTTCGTTGTCCGTTTCCTGGAAAGAAAAAGTCAAAACTGTATTGCAGCGGAAAGTGATTTTTCTTAATTTTTTGTTTATTAAAATTCTGAAGATGCAGACATGATCGTGTGTCATGCTGCCGATAGGAGCCTGTTCTACGGGAATTGTTGAACATATTTGTAATGCATCCTTGTGGAACATCTGATCTAGGGGTGATCAGAGTATGCAATGAGTAGATCTTCTCATGACTTGAGTGGTGCGATTGCATGTTATTTCTGCTGGCCGATTGTGAATTATGATCTGGGGTGATCATTACAGTTTTCTGTATATTTTGATTTGGCGAGGTCAAATTAGCATTTCTCTGTGTGTCTTGACGGGGTGGTCAAGTGTGTCTGTTTGTGTTTATCTTAACACGGGGAGGTCAAGGGCACATTTCTTTTATTAGTTCGGTCACACCCATGAGTTGGGCTTATGTGCAAAATAGTGTTATACATCTTTTGGCAATGCAAGCATGTATGTCGTGATATACACCCATTAAGGGTATGGTGCAACGCAAGACAGTTTGTACAAATGTTATTATTTTTTATGAATTTATACCGCTGAGGTATCGGCAATTTAAAATGCTTGCAATGCTTTAACAAGTGATTCTTTTTGCACAATTTGCACAATTGGTGATTATTCTGTGGAGGAAGAATAGGCTTAGTTATTTTATGCAAAGTAGAAGATTTTGCGAGCCTATGTTCAACGCATTCTTTGATTTCAAATTGCCTGTAAAGGTATTGTTTCATTTGTTGCCATGTTGGGCACTGGTTTCGGGATACAAGAGATTATTCCCATAGCATTAGTGAACTTTCTGGTAATGTGGATGAACATATATTGACCAGAATTGGGTCCCAGCTATCAGTGGGTATGTCGAGATTTTCAAGCATTGACAAAGAATTTGTAATTGTTGAGTATAAATTAATAAAATCCTCACTGGTTTCTTTTCGAACTTTGGGTAAGTTCAATTATGTTGTGACCTGATTGTCGACTAATTGGCGCTTGTTTTCATTTCGGGAGTGGAGAGCCTCCCACGCTTATTGGAAATTGCCTCCTCCTACTAAGCCAGGGTGTTACGCTGACCGTGCCCATTGGAAGGTTTGCAGCTGGGAGAGTCAAAAACCAGCTGTTGTGTAACGGTGCATTCTCAACACAGAATCGCCTCGGGATGGAACTTTGGCCTTGCTGCGGCGAATGTTTCGAAATGCAAGTGGTCGTACGAACAAGATGAATCACAACTACAACAAAACCACAAAAAAAACATCATAAAAAGGGCAGAAAATAGAGCAATATTCACTAAAGCTCATGGATCCACGAAGGAGGGAATACCAAGATCTCCAGGTAAGAGTAGAGAGAGCTTGAGGGCACGCATACCTCGCCGAACAAATCAGGAAAAGCCGATGGAGTGCATAGCAGACAACCTCGCCTCCAAAGGGCAGTATAACAGGCAGGAAGCAAAGAAGACATAAGAATAAACATTGTAGTAATAGACCCTACCATTGAAACGAAATATCTGGGAGTGATTTTAATGGTATGCAGAAGATTAGCAGGGAAACGAAGACAGTGTACCTCCAAAATACTGTACTGGATATATGTAATGATATTAAAACCAACAATAACATTTGGCTCCGTTGCCTGGTCAGAAAGTGCAAACTAGCGTGCGTCTGTATAACTGGACGCATTAGGACATGCCCTACAGTAGCACTAGAAGCTCTCCTTGATCTTACGCCTCTCCTAGAGGAAATAGAGCTTTCACACAAGAAAGCCGTAACTTACAATGTTAAAATAGGTGTCAGGGGAAAAAAGAACATGGAACCAAATTCAGGTACAGGAAGTAATAAAACCACACTCCCGTGTGTGATGCACAAACGGTTCCAAGACTACTGATGGGCGCGGGGTACACTGGACCCAGAACTAAGATATCGAAATACCCTACTATATTCCAGCCAGAGGTGTTTGCCATTACAATATGGGCAGAGCTTATACTCCAAAGGATATTGGTTAACCAACATGTAGTAATTTGCAGCGATAGCCAAGCCGCACTGAAAACTATGTGGGAATGTGTGAAGAACCTCAATAGAGCGGGCGAACGAAGATAAGTTCAGCTCATCTGGGTGCCGAAACACACAGGTATTGAATCAAACGAAATAGCAGGTAGAGTCGCAAGAGCAGCTGCCTCAATCTCTCCTACTGGACCTGAGCCATTCTCTCCCTCAGGCCCCTACTCAATTAGAGAAGAGATAAGAAGGGAGGAAATGAGATAAGAAACAGCTATTGGTATTGTAGCTAGGGAATGAGACAATCAAAGAAACTTATAAACTGCTCATTGCAGTCTGCATAAGCACTTGTACAGGCTCGGCACATGCTCCGATGAAAATTGTCGATTCTATGAACTAGTACCAGAAACACCGGTGCACATTATATTTGAATGCGAAACTGTTACAAGAAAAAGACACAAACACCTTTATGCTGATTAGTTTTATAAGAGTATTAGGTCTGGTTGAAAAAATGTGAAAAAATCGGAGGGCAAAATACCACTGGTCGCGGTGTATGTGCTCTTTACTAATCCATCTATCTATCTAAAATTTAAACATCCACATTTTTATCATTTAGATCGATATAACGTCTCATCCTTCCCACATTCGTCAGAATCAATCTCAACGACTTTTTCAATACATTCCAATATATAATATCTCATATTAAGTCAACTTTATCTGCAAACTCCATTATCTCAAATAATATTAATTAATAACGTATAGGCATATATGTATATATGTTTGCAAGCACATATACAATAGTTATTGTAGCAAAAACCCAAATTTCAATTTGCAAACCTTTGAAATTTAAGACAGCTGTAGGGGAATTTTCTATCGTGTTATAACGATTTTCGGAACGTGGTAATGACTTAAAGATAATTTTACGATTTCGATATTCTCTACATACATTATAAAAATTTTCGCGTCGCTAAATTGAGTGAATATTTTTAACCACAGTACAACGATTTTTAGATCGTAAATGAGACTTAACAAAATTTTTCAAGAATTGTGTAATGACTTTCGGATCGCAAAGAAGACTTAGAAATTATTTTAAGTATTTTAATATTCGGTGTGCTTATTTTAACGATATTCGCTCTCGCTTTTGTCGCTCGAAAATTCTCTAACTAAGCGACGAAAATTTTTAGGTTGCTGGCGATATCGAAATTTTTTTTATTTCATTAAGGTTAAAGTAAATCGTGAAATCGCCTAAGTTTTTTAAAAATTAAAATAAAATTATTAACAAAAATAGCTTTTGCGCATTTTCCATACATTCTATCCCAAGCTGAGGAGCTATTGTACACTTCATCATTGAGTAGAAATTTGACTCCGGAAGTTTATCTTTTCCACTTGAAGGCAACTGAAGTTTTTGATAGCCACCTAAAGGCAAAAAATAACAGCATTATCTGCGGAGAAACTGGTAGTAATATAGCTTTCAAATATTGTTCAGTTTTTACATTATTAAAATGTTTAAAGGTTCCATCCGCCTTGCGATTCATTGCAACTGGAAGCTACCAACGTCCTGTTCGGAGAACCATGGAGAATACCTATAAGTCAGTGGTCAGTAGGCTGTTGTATTCATCGCAGTATAGAAGCAGTCTACCGTTCAATGTTTCCTACGAAGGATAGATTTTCCATTACTTCGCCATTTTCTGCAGGAACTTTTGAAGCTATCGATTGCGAAGAAGCCTATGTCAACCTTCATGAATACCATTCTACCAACGAGCAAATGGTGAGACTAAATTGCTTTCAATTACTATTGAAGTAACAAAGTTCATTTTATTTGTACACCTTCGCAAAATTATAGCGGCAAATGCCAAGCAGCCAAGAGCGCGGCACAATTATTTTATTTGAAGCTCCTTTATATAGCGAAGAGTCAAGGATAAAAATGCAAACCATAACATGTTTTTGATGTGATTAACTTTGTAATGCTACTAATTTAATAAAAATATATTCTACAAAAAATTTATTTGCTTTTGTCGTTCCTCTTTGTGGTTTTCGCATATTTTGACGTTTTGTTAAGCTTTTCTTCATTTTAATAAAATGGAAATGTGCGTTGATGATTATCGTAAACACTGAGTTAAAAATCGCATAACCGTTAGCGCAGGCTACAAAATTCGGAGCTTTGCATCCGCCAAATCGGGTCGATGAAATTTACAGAATTGCACTGCTAATGCTAAAAGAAAGCATTACTTTGTTAATGTGACGGGCGACATCAAAAGAGAAATTGGGACTACAAGCGACATGTAAGCTGGGGCTAACATGTTATCTTTGACTATGGTGTAATCGAATGGTGTAATCGATTCCAATTTTTCGATTTATTTAGACTATCACCAATCATAAATCCTTGTGATAAAGAATTTTGCGACGTTTTGAAATTAAGTGTTTCAATAATGTCATTTCGGTCGCGTTCTTCTTCCCCGTCCTCAATGGTTTTAATAAAGGCTTTAGAGAAACGTAGGTTACAAGATATTGTAGAAAAAAAGCGCGTCAAAGAAGAAATTAAAGCAAATGAAACTCCTGAGGAGAAGAGGGCTCGTCGCCTACGAGAAAGAGAAGCGAAGGAGGCACGCCGTCGTGAACGTTTAGGATGGGATACAGAATACCAACATTACACTGATCAAGACAATCCATTCGGGGATTCTAATTTGACCTCTACATTTGTTTGGACAAAAAAAATGGAGAAAGAAGGACTGCGTGATGTATCTACAGAAACTGTTGATATTATTTCTAGGCAAAAGCTGCTAGAAAACAGACTTGAACTTGGAAAAGTGAAAAAGCGACGTATGGAACGTGAATTAGAGAAGCAAGTTCGTGAAGAACAGTCGATCTTGCAGCAACGAGTAAAAGAAGCAGCGCAGTTTCAAGAATGGGAATTGCAGGAAGACCAATTTCATTTAGAGCAAGCGAGATTGAGAAGCATAATACGGATTCAAGACGGTCGGGCAAAACCAATAGATTTGTTAGCGCAATATTTATCGGGTTTCAATCCAGAAGATACAAACGAAATACAAATGCACGAACCATATGTACTTTTGAATGGTCTTAGCCTGAAAGATCTTGAAGATTTGTTAGTTGACATTAAAATTTATGTAGAGTTAGATAAAGGTAATAATATTGATTTTTGGAATGACATGACAGTAATTGTGGAAGACGAATTATTCAAGATCAAGAAGAGTGCAAATAATTTAATCGATGAATCTGGAACTTGCTCTCGTAGGGAAGGAATACACGATTGTGTAGCAAAAGATGTCGCTGAAATTTTTCGAAAGAAAAATACAAAACAGCTAAATGAGTTACGTTCCAAAATTGAAAACAAAATCTGTTCTAGAGCAGACGGCGTGGACATTAGTTATTGGGAAAGTCTTCTTTCTCAATTAAAAGCACACATGGCGCGAGCACGCTTACGAGACAAGCATCAAGAAAACTTACGTCAAAAACTTAATATTTTAAAAACCAAATCTGACTCTAATGAACACTCTGATATTGCTTCCACATCTAATATTAATGAGGACGCAAGCTCTACATCTTTTGAAGATATTAATACCGATGGTAACGAGACCAAAAATGATATAAATCTGTTGCAACAGTTCTTCGACCTATATGAAACCGGCCGATATAGCCCAAATTACATTCAAATGTTAGATGATGAAAATATTTTACCCGTTCTTACAGAAGAAGAAAGCTTTAGTGCAATTGGATTATTACGTACCGAAGCACTAAATAGTAGACCGAACAAAGAATTATTTACAGCAGAAGAAAGTAATATGTGTAATGCAATGAAGAAAGACATGGGAAAAGATGAAGCTGAATTTTCAGTCGAAGTCCCATTGGAGGCAGTTCAAATAGCATCTGATAAGTACAGACCTCGAAAACCCCGGTATTTCAATCGTGTGCACACTGGATTCGAATGGAATAAATATAATCAGACTCATTATGATATGGACAACCCCCCACCGAAAATTGTTCAAGGATATAAATTTAATATATTTTATCCTGATTTAATCGACAAAAATACAACTCCTCAATATTTTTTGGTATGATTAACATATTTTATGTTCCAAATATTTTTATAAATGTGCTATGTATTTACTATGAATAGACTTCAATATCGCTATCTGTGTTATGTTAATTGTTAGAATCATTTCAAACTCTCATTGAAAGAAAAAAATGTACCAGGCATGATACAAAAAAGGGAAGGTAGCTTCTATATAACCTAGCACAATACTATTGATTTTTCATAAAAAAATTTTAAGTGAATATATATTATTAATCATTATTATTATTATATTAATAATATGCTTTTATCTTAATTCTTACAATGTTATTAACGGAATTTGTACATATTTTCAGAACCAATGTGAAGACAATCCCGATTTTGCAGTACTCCGTTTTCATGCAGGACCACCGTATGAAGATATAGCATTCAAAATAGTACATCGTGAATGGGAATTCAGCTACAAACGTGGTTTCCGGTGTCAGTTTCACAATAATATCTTTCAACTATGGTTTCATTTCAAAAGATACCGATATCGCAGATAAAATGTTGTTTTGGTTTGGCTTTAAAATTGCATCCCAATATAATTGCATATTGTATCTAAACGCGTGGAACGATTTAATTAGGTTATGATAGTTTTTATAGCCCATGAATTGAACTTTTTTTCTTATTTTATTTTATATATTTATGTGCTGTAGTTTCTCTACAATGTACTCCACTATTGGTACTTCTTTCAATCATAAAATTTAATAAATCTTTGTTATTCAGAAATAAATGTTTAAATATGCACGTATTTTATCCTTGAGGACGTGTTGGGCGATTTTGATCTCGGTATTTTTACACCCGCGTTCATTAATTATTAAATTTTTTAATGGAATTAAATTATCAAAATAGAATACTATGTTACGACAACCGTTGAGGTCACTGAACCAACTTGGTCATTAATACAGTGGGCGAGGGTTGATACTGATATCACAAAAAAAAAATTTCTTTAAAATATATATATGTATGTATGTATGTATGTGAACCTAATAACATAAATATGGAAAACAATTTCTTATACAGAAGAAAACGTAAATTATTCAATTGTTTTTGTTTGACAGGCATGCCTAACCGCGGATGAATTCTCGAACCCCTGACCCGCACGGGGGGTTATTATTAATAAAATGGGACCGTTATCGAAAGTGCTACAGTATCGCATGTTCTTTTCAGAAAATATTATTAATCATTTACACCATTTTATTCCACAATAACGCACTGCACGCATTTTCATTGCTTCAAATTTTTCTCAAGATTATCCATTTCCCAAAAGTTTCTTAGCACATAAAGAAATTATGGGAAAATCGGTTTCTATATTAAATTTGTATAAATGTTGTCCGTTTCCTTAGGATTCTTAAAATTTTAAATGCTTTTATATTATTTACTTATATCGTATTAGAAGACACTGAAAGTTATAGCTGCCAGCTATTATAATTTTTGTTAAAAATAATATTAATTTTCATAATTTAAAATTTTAGAAAATTGAAACACATTTGTTCGACATTAAATTATTCAGAACTTTTTAATTGCAATTGTTATTAATTTAAAAAAAAATATACTTTATAAGGCTATATAAGTTTTATAGTCAAAAGGCTATAAGGCAAAATTTAAACAACTTCGTCATTATCATTTGGTTTCGCTCTTGTCTTAACCTTCTATTCCATAAACCTTGATGTTAAAATGTATGCATCCATTTAGTTTCAACTGTCAAATTACGAAAAAATAAGACCAACAATTCTATTTTTATATAATTTTTTCTCAAATTTCTATCAATAATGTATACTGTGCAAGACGGAGCTGGTGTTGGCCCGGCCCAGAAATTAAAATAAATGTAAAAGAGAGTATGATTTCTTTAAATTTTTGTTAATTCTTTCGCTTGCTCCCGGCACCTCCAAATTGGCTTACTTCTCTGAAGATTCCCGCAAAACAATCGTATTTTATCAGTGAAGTTTCCAATTAAAGCTAGTGTTTTTCAAACTAACGTTCTTGTTCATATATTAGAAATACTGCTGAAATTCCAGTAAACCTAGTATAAGTACAAACATTCATTTTCGCGGATGACACAGCCATATTATGTTGTCATCCCGAAATTACAGACTGGAACGAAGAGATGAAACCGGCCTAGTATGAAGAGGGTTCTGAGTTAACTCAAGCTGAGACGCTTTTAATTGAGTTTAAATGTACAGTACGTGAATTAATTGTTTACAAAATGGAAAAAATCAAACAAATTTATTTATCAACTTGATTTTTATTAACTAATAATTGTTTTTGCGGCCATGCCATATAATAATTTTTGATATAAGTATTAAGTAAACTAAGGCCTGGTTTGTTCGTATGAATTGAATATTTTGTTATACAACAAAGAAAAATTGTAGAAGTGACAGCTATTTCGGAGATCACCACATCTCCTCATCAGACGTCTTATGGCAGGGATCGAACCAACGGATCCTCACTTAACAAGCGAATGCTCTACCACTGCGCCAACTTCTTTTTTTTTTAAATATTAATCTTAATAATCTTATAAATAATGCACATTTTCCACAATTCAAGACATAAAAGTAAAAGATATATAAAAATATATAATTGCTTGCATTTTGTAAGCAATTATTGCAAATATAATTAAAATTGGGAAAATATAGCAGTGTTGGTACTAATGATTGGTATGGTGGCCACTTGAATCTATAACAGCTCGAAGACGACGGGGCATGGACTGAATAACCTTAATAAGACCGGCTTCGGTCGCCCAACCGCTTCTTTAAAAAAGCCCATCAATTTTCTATGGGGTCTAAGTCAGGACTCTGGGCAGGAGGGCAATTATATAGGAGCCACGTCCTGTACAGCAATGATTTACGTTTGAGATCGTTGTCCTGGTGCAGTTTGTACCTTAATTTAATAAGGTTTTCATGGCCAACAAATCCAAATCTTATCGCACTCCTTGACAATTCGTTCTTTAGAATGTCCAAGTAAAACTCCTTCGTCCTCACGTCATTGAAAATTCGGAGCTCACCAACACCTTTCGACGAAATGCAACCCCAAACCATTACAGAAAGCTTACCAAATTTTGCTTTTACTGAGCTCACCAACACCTTTCGACGAAATGCAACCCCAAACCATTGCAGAAAGCTTACCAAATTTTACTGTTGGAATTATATTTTTTTTTTTACCGTTCGATTTTAATGCTGGTTATTTCTGCGAGTAATATTTGTTAAGAATACTTAGATTAACAATACCAATTAATAAAAAAAGGAAAATAAAATACTTTCATTTATAAAATAAAATTTGAACAGAGATTTTTGTGATTTTTTCATTTTGCAAACAATTAATTGACATACTGTAAATCTTAATGTGAAAGAACGACATCAACTTTTTAGATTTTTTGACATTATATCCTATTTTTATTATGGCTTCAAGTTATTGCCACTTTTTGTGAGCACGTTTTATTTTTTTATTTTTTTTTTTTTTTTTTGTAAACATTTAAAGGTATTGCATATTTTGTACTATACTTTTTTTATTTTAGAATGGTATTTTTTTGGAATGAATGGTTTTTTTTTTTTAAAGAAATTGGTAGCACAAAAATAAAGCAACATTTTTTTATATTAGATCGTTAATATATTTGAAAAAAATTTTTTAGTGAAACTACCATGCTTTTTGTCTAAGTTTACTCGGGTATACTTTTTGCCACCGAATAACTCGTTTGTAAGGGAGAGTGCGACTCCGATTTGACCTTGGGGCCTTGGATCCTATAGAAGTATCGACTTTAATGATATATTATTCACAGAAGCTACTGCGTCGAAGACAATTTGCAGCTTGCTTGGCTTATTTGTGTTGTACACAGCAGAATGCGGCAAGCTCCACGTATGCCGATGTGATGAGCTGACTCCATTTTCAGTCAGTTTTCTGAAATAACCTTTTGTCATATTTCTGCTAGAGGGCATTGTTGCTGGGAATGATTTCCAAAGAAAGTCAACTTCATAATGTTAATTTGCTTGTTAAACTGCAGTTTTTTCTAATATAAGTGTTGAGGCTGTCTGTTCTAGAAAATTAAGATTTCGTACATTGCAGTTACCTAGTACTATGACTCAGTTACCACTTTATCGTCATACCATTGTAGTACGTTGCTTTAACAATGATTGTCCATAACTTCTACGAATACAATTAACATCACTCTGCAGTGATAATCAAGGCAGTAAGACATTAGAGTAGGTAAGTCAAGTTTCTGGGCATGCACTTTCAGTCGCAGGGCTTTACTCAATTCCTACTCTTACGTCCGCATTGCCTCGCTATATAAATGTGTAAAGCCCTCGTCAAGACCTGGCTTTCACCCCAGTAGATGAACGTTTCGAAAAATCCGTATCAATGTGAGCTTCGCTGCTACGTCCAAATTTTTATAGGCGACTTTAACACCAAGGCAAAGAAGATATCTTTGAAATAAAAGCCGATGAAACGTCCCCAAACGGGTTGATACTGCCCGATCACGCATGTGCGACAAGATGGTCTCAGGACCGAACAACACACCAACATTTTTGGTATACTTTAAATAACTAAGTAAAGCAATTTTCCAAACTGAGATTCCCGTTAGTTTAAAATTTACTTTATTTCTCTCCAATTTACTATCTAAATTTTGAAGTGCTTAATGAGTTTTATTGCAGGAACTACCATATTTCTCCTGATAGTCTTTCCAAGTTGCTCAGGTATACATATTATTTCATTTTTTATCTGAAATTATATAATTTTAAATTTATTTAGTCATATATGTAATAACGAAAACTAAAATTACCTTATTTGACTCAATGAGGGATATAAGCAATCTGGGTATCGCCGCTGCTGTTCCATTTACCGTATGCACATATCTTAGCTCCCCAGTTCTTGTACGATATCTTATATTCAAACGTTTAGATTGATAGTCTGTGCAATTGCTGCAACTTGATATTTCTCCCCACATTTCACGACCAGGCATCCATGCCTCTATATCATATTTCTGGAATGCAGAGGCTCCCAGTTCCACAGGGGGCATGTCTATTACTCGGAACTGTAAGTTTAACCGTTTATATAAAGACACCTCAGCATCCCTAAAACTTTCCAATAGTGTCTCGGACGAATTTTCTGAGCACAGTGCAAACATTTCCACCTTGGTAAATTGATGAACCCTTGAAAACATATATGTTTGTAAGAAATAGATCTGAATTCGATCGAAATCGTATTGTAAACAAAAATTTGCAAATATTCCTCATTTTACTTTGAAATAAAAGTAGATTAAAAAAGATTGAATTTGACATTTTGGTGTTCTAACATGAAATTATTTTCTTAAAACCCATTCTACATATGAGCCGCTCAGTGGGATGATTCAGCAATGTCCTCTTCATTAGCCGTATGCGAGGATTCGCCATTTCGATTTATTGACAAGTTCTTATAGAAATCGTGTTTAACAAGAGGAATGAATTTTAGCAGATTCATCATGTCTCTCCATTTTTCCATTGTCGCAGTTCTACCTTTAGGATATAATAAAGGCTGATCTATATTTTTAAAATGTTGCGTTGCCTACCCTATTATATTAATGGCTTGTAATTATAGTCACATTGTATGAAATAGGGTTTGGACCTTTCTAACTTTATCCAGCGTACTTTAAGCCAATTTACTGGAAGCCCTGTGACGGTTACTTTTCTGTTAATGATAGACTGTTCTAAAAATTTTGTTGAATTTTGGTGAGTTGTAACCGCAAAATTCATCCTCAAAGTACTTTTTGGGGAATGTTGCGGGAGTGATAGTCCTTGGCCGGATAAAAATCCGGGTTGTTCCGGTATAAAGACCCGACTGTCGTTGGGCAAATAGCTGCGTCCACTTACCAAACATTTCATGTCATTTGATTCAGTTGTGAATGAAACTAGAAAACACATATAGTGTTACTAAAATGATTTACAATAGAGTATGGAGGTAACCGAAATGGCTTCTGAAACAAATTACTTATTTTCAGTAGCCAAAAAAATTTGCTATTTAACGGTGCTTATCTTTATTATTCAGAAAAGTTATTATAAATATAAAAAGTTGTGACTATACCAAAGGCTCTGACACTTAAATTTAAGATTTTTGAAGAAGTGGAGTTTCACATCGATACACTGAACGGCTCATATATAAGGATTTAGGTTCAAGTCGCTTAAAAATTGTTTTGTAGACCTATCGAGGAGCAAGTGATAAGCTTAGTACAATATTTTTCGTAGCAAATATTTATATTAAATATTTAAAAGATTTCTTCCCGTGGTAAGAATCTGTCGAAACAGATTATAATTTTAGGTAAATGTGTTGTAACGAACTGCTAGAATAACAACAAAAGCACATAGGTATCAAATTGCATTCGTTTCAATAAGACTTTGCAATTGGTATTGGACATCAGCTGTTGAAATTATAACTTCGAATTAAATATATATAACTTAGAGTCTAATCTTGCATAACATCTAAAATTAAAAATTTACAATTTGAATTTCACTACTTTTCTGGAGCACGGATGATTACAATAATTACATTCGCTATCGCTACCCTAACTAATGTTTGTGGATATTGCTTTGTTTACTTGCATAATCTCTGCAAAATGCCATACATATCATAAAATTTATCTTAGCGCAATTGCTAAAAATATATACATACCATTAGTAGTTTAATTGATATTAGAAATAAGATATATGTACCTGTAAATTCCTTTTTCTTCATTTAATCCGGACGTTTCAGCTCGGAAACACCTACTCACAGCCGCTACTTTAAGTGGTAAATCACTCTCATTAATGACTTGGTCAGAAAAGAGGCCTGCTAGTGCCATTTCTGAAGTTCCAGACAAACATTCTCCTGAATCAACTTTATACACTTGAGTACGGTCACCTTCGGTTTGCATGCCACAACCATTTATAATATAACTGGGTAGAACATCTGGGACAGATATAAGACGGAAATTATTCTCTTTTAAAAATGATATTGTGTATCGTATCACTGACTGTTCGAGAGTAGCAAGATCACCCATCAAATAATAGCTTTTATGTCCAGTAAAATGTCCTAGATGTTCCACTCTTAAAAGATTAAAAAATTTACATACGTCGGAAAAAGATTTCGACTTCGTAGATGTTAATAAATTGTTGTAAATTTCTCGCCCCTCTTCTCCATAATCTCTTATACGATTGTGAGTTTTGTTGGGAAGCTTTTTGAGTTCAAATTCTAATCGCTTTTTAATTTCTTCATTTTCCGGATTTTGCTCCAACACTTTTAGAAGAGATCTTATGACAGGTACGTTGTTGTTATGTTTTCTCAACAAAATGTTAGCTTCGGCTTGATCTAGGGCTATAGCAGGGCCTTGTATAGACGAGTTTGATCTTCGTAAAGGTTTAGGTAAATAGCCAATGAATATATTTAAAATTCTTGAGTTATATGGTTTGATATTAAATATTCTTGACAAACCCATTTCTTATATTGCAATTGGAATATTCCAATACTGTTCGATAGTTTACTGATTTCTAAACCTATCGATATTTAATCTCGATATCATAATGTTATGTATACACCATAATTTAATCTACTATATAAGCCATAAGCGCTGGAACTAAAGAATCATTACTGCTGGGTATAAGGTAATCTAATGATTAAGACCCATTTACATAATGGCCGATTAACTTAAACGTACCCGAAGAGGGTAGCCGCCAGATAGACTGATGTGACACTTTCGTTTTCACCAAGTTTTGGTTACCTAATTTCTGGTAAGTTTGATCATTGTGGATATCTTAAGGTAAGTTCATAAAAATTTTCCTTGTGAGTAGAGGAAAACTGCGTGATAGCTCATAATATTCCGTGCAATTTTCAAATTTATCCTAATAATTTTTTACATTATTCTAATATAATGGAAAATAAAAACAGAAATCGGCTTCCAAATTTTTAAAGAACTGGAGAAATTGTTGGCGGAGCGCTTCTCAAATGTTATCGAAAATAAAAAGACTGACGAAGTGGCTTGGGAGGAAAAACGAAAAGCCTGGGAAACATTGATGTTCAAGTGGGAATTCGGAGGGGGCCCAAAAACTAAAGAGAGAAATAAGAAAAATTGAAATGAGAGGAGGGAAATCTTTAGCGAAAGAGAAAATGGAAGTGTATAAAACAGGTGACGGACACTTTAAGCATCGGCAAGATGTTAATACTGAAGGCTCGCTGCTTTAATAGCGCAATACCCAACTTGGTTGGAAAATTTTTTCGACAGCAATGGTAAGATATTTGTATGAAATTCTACGCAGTGGGAGTTTTAGCAGTACATACATATATTATTTCAGCCTTTAGAATTGGTTGTTGTGACATTTACTACGGCGGCCATATAAAGGACCGCAAATTTGGTGTTGGATTTTTGGTGGAAGAGAGACTCCGTCGTCGAGTAGCGGCATTCACCGCGGTGGATGAGCGTTTTGTCGATTTTAATGAAATGGTGGTCAAAGAAAGTATCTTCGGCAAAACTGCCGGAAAATTAAGCCTTCACGGGGCCCGAAATATGGTTGTCTGTAGTACTAGATTCCAGCAAAAAAAACTACATCAAGCTACTTGGCTGTCCCCCGATCGAAAATCACAAACCAGATCGATCATATTGTGATAGACGGAAGACATGTCTTCAGTGTTCTGGACGTGCGTACACTCAGGGCACCCAACACTCGACTCGGACCATTATATTGTTGCAGCGAAGATAGGCATACGCTTCTGGCTCGTCAGCAAACACAAGGAACATTCGTCGTTGAAAAGCTGCAATCACAACAGACTGCCGAACGATTTTCTACTCGACTTGCTCTCCTGCTCTCTAAGAGCAATCATCAGCAACTCGGTGTACGGGAACTGCAGGACGTCATTTCAAGTTCTCTGCGTACAGTTGCAAACGAAACTATTGGATTTCGTAAAGGTCGCAAGAACAGACGTTCTGCGCCAATTGTCGTTGGATAAGCCTCCTTAATATCACCTATAAAGTCCCATCAAGTGTATTGTGTGGGAAACTAAAGCAAACCGTCAACAAACTGATTGGACCTTATCAGTGTGGCTTCAGTCCTGGTAAGTCAACCATTGACCAGATATTCACTATGCAAAAAAAATTTGGAGAAGACCCGTGAAAAGAGGATCGACACCCACCGCCGCTTCGTCGATTTTAAAGACGCCTTCGACAGCACGAATATGTCTGAATTTACAATACAACACCAGAAGCGCAGTCAGAGTTTGGAAGGACCTCTCTTAGCCGTTCGACATAAAACGACGTTGTGCTGTGATTTCTTCAATTTAATGCTGGAGCTGCAGAGCTGAATAGAGAAGGTACAATTGGCATACGCGTACGCTGATGTTACGTCGATATATCGGCCTTAACAACCGCGCCGTTAGTTCCGCTTTCTCGCGATGAGACGGCGTTAGGAGTTTTCGAGAGAAAGGTTTTGCGTAATATTTATGGTCCTTTGAGCGTCGGCAACGGCGAATATCGCAGACGATAGGACGATGAGCTGTACGAGTTATACGGCGGCATTGTCAGTATGTACAATTTCTGAATACCATAAGCCTATTGTATGCTAGTCCTTTATGGAACTGTCTCTTCGTTAGTTAAAAAAAAATAAACAAAAGCAAATAAAGAAGCTCACAAACGCTTATTTGAAATGCCAGACCTACTAAGACTGGCCATTTATTTATTTAATACTTATTTTATTCAGCTATTCTTTTCTATTCTCTCCTTATTACTTATTGTTACACTTAATTACAAATGTTGTTTGTAATATTTGCTATGCTGTTGTACTAAAGAGATTTTGTTATCTTAATGCACTAAGGTTTTCACCAAAATAAAATTAAAGAAATAAGAGATTAAAGCCCATCGTCAACGAGCTGATTGGACCTTGTCAGTGTGGTATCAGACCTGGTAAATCCAGAATCCCCAAATCTTGGACAAGGCCTCTGACAAAAGGAGTGGTATACATCACCTCTTCACCAATTTTAATTGTACTAAATTTATTAACTAATAGTATATTAGATCTTGTTTTAAGAGTTAAAATAATAAAAACAACAAAATTGCCTTTCAGACTTTATCTTTATTGCATAAAAACGTTGTTATATCTTCGCGATATAGCAAATTTGTCTCTCTATGCTCACATTGTTCTTCCACTTGCATAAGATTTGTCCATTTCCATAACAATCGTCTTTGATAACTATTTCTAAATGAAGCATATAAGGTGTTTTGTATTTCATTCGGCATTCCAATTTTGTAATAAGAAGTTCTTGTACGCTTATCGAAATAATACAGTTTTTGCGTAGAATGAGATATACTAGAAAAAAAATTGTGAGAGATCTCGCAAAATAACATGATTCCCCCTGGAACAAAAAACTTGTTTTCAAAGGACACAGATAATCCAAGTCGCGTTGAATTATCTTTTAACACATGGGACCTCATGTCGTTAAAAAATTTGTTTAAATCCCTTAACCCATATAAACACTTGCTACGAATCGGATAGCAATTTCCCTCTTTATATGGCTTATTAAGGCTTAGAGCATATTTTTGGCATAAACGTGAGCGTTCGGACAATTTTAGGCGTCTAATGTCTATTCCACCCAACATAATTGCATCTATAATATGTAATGCGGATATTCGGGTTTGTGTACGACCTTCACCGGTGTATTCGTATACGATTTCACCATAAAAAAGGGATTTTGGAGATCCTTCAAACATAAGTCCCACAGGTTCCCATTTCCTGCTGCTCGTATATCGAAATAAGCTTCCTTTGGACTTACATAGAAACATGCTATATGTATTAACGTTAGTTTCACCTCGCCCGATTGGAACAAAATACCAGTCATATATGCTGTTAATATTACTATGAAGGTGTTCTGTTGAATTCAACTCATTTGGTAGAGAATTAAACAATAGTTTATCATTCCAATCTCCTAGTATCTCTTCAAGAAGTTTTTCTGGAGTCTTGGACTCAGGTGCTTGTCGAAGTTTATCTGGAAGGCCCCATAGTTCTAGACAACGTTTACGTATTTCAGATTGCTTTGTTTCTTTAAGTTGTGTGTTTCTGCAATAAGCAGCAATTTTCTTTAAACCTACAATTTGATTTTGGCCAATCTCATTATTACTGTTAACAATATAATCTAGAAAAGCTTGATCAGAAACAATGTTTTCTCTCTTTACAATTTCTAAAACATCATCATTGCTTTCATTTAATATATCATTCACATGATCTAAATATTTACAAATAGAATCCGTATTTGGTTTCTTCCACTTACAAACTAAGTATCTCTCCGAATTAGCAGGCCTACTGCTATTGGGTTTCAAAATAGATATTTTATCAAAACATTTATACATTAAATATATAAGTCCTATACTAAAAGGGGTGAATAAGTCAAACATCTTGCAAAGAAAACTACCATTAACTCTAAGTATTTTGAGAGCTGTCAGACACTGGCACAGATATAGTTGCTTTGAGAGTATTTCCTGGATATTTTCTTGACCTTCAACTGAAAATCCGCCATCTGCCATTACAAAATGAACGCCAGATTTACAATGTTTTAAAACGTACTCTGCAAAAGAATCCTGGTTATCTTTGAAGAATATATTTCCGTCATCTCTTATTCCATAGTAAGTGTGGAATGATTCTGGAGAGCCAGCAAAAAATTTATCAAGCTTGAAATCATTGGGGCCCCGCAAAGTGAAACCGAATCCCTTTGCTTCCCACGATTTTCTGTAAAGTATATACTCCGAAAAGCCTCCAGGACCTGTTGAATAAACAAAACATATTAGTTGGTGCTTTAAAGTCTGGTTGTAGAGACATTAATTTATAAAATAGTTATTCTCTAACATAAACATATATATAGGAGTATCATAGTATACGGACGTGTTTTTTTAATCTCCTCCGTAACTTCACTTAAAACTTAAGAACAAAAAACTCAAGCATTTAATTGTGTAAATTTATACATCGGGTGTAGTGGGTGTATAGCCACTAAAGTTGGCAATAAACACATAAAAATAAAGAAAATATATAGTAAAAAGAAATATAATTTCTAAATAAACAGAGAAACGAACACAAAAAGTGAATAATCAACCGCCGACGTAATGAGTGATCAATGCTCAAATCAGAAAGAGCGACGGTATTAAGTCTATTCCACTGTTGTTGCGAGAAAATCACTATCTAACAGCAGTGCAAAGGCAACCAGTTCAACTTTAAAGACGCCAACGCAGATCTTAGCAACAACGGAGCGAGAAAAGAGTGAAATAACTCTGTCCACAACATGTGTAAGTTACCCAGCAATACCAGAAAAACAAACAGACAATGCAGTCAAGCAGCGCAACAGCAGCAGCTACTCCAGTGCTGGGACCAAATACTGAACAAAGGGGGTCAGCCAAAAAGAAAAAAAGGCCGGTAGTGCAGTGGACGTGGCAAATCAAAAGAGGAAATCTAGAATGCAAAGAAGTATAATACTATTGGTTCCATTATCGATGCTGATGGTAATGCACTAAAAGGGAACAGATTTGTCCCGTTAAATGAGGAAGACCCTATAACATACACAAATGGTGTTTCCATAGTCGCCAATGCTAAACCTCCACCAATCTACTTGCGGAAGCGCAGTTCTAATTTACTCGTTACGAATATAGCCAAGATAATAGGTACCAACAATTTCCACATTGTACCTCTTAAAAAGGGAGCATAGACGAGACAAAGATACAAGTACACAGCGAAAAAGACTTACGTCAGGCCATTGACTATCTGAGTGTTTATGGCTTTTAGTGCTGTTGTGGTGCTGTGCACTTTTCGGAAGCCATGCTGATGTGCTGCTAGACGGAGATGGTGAGCGAAGGTAGGTAGCGGTAAGGCCTCAAGTATCTTCGCTACTGGGGAGAGGAGAGTTATCGGCCGCTAGGACCCACTTTTGTTGGCTGGTTTTCCCGGTATGAGTAACAGGACCACCTTTCCCATTTTCCACGCGTTAGGTATCATTAGGGTGGTCAAAGACATTTGTAGGACCCTCGTGAGATATTCTGCTCCCGCTGGTCCTAGGTGTTTAAGCATCAGAATGCTTATTCCGTCGGGGCTGATGGACTTGGAGACTTTCGCGATTACCCCCTGAACCTCCTCTCTGGAGAAAACAAGCACCGCGCTGGTGTTTGGCAGTTTGCGCATCTGGCGGGTTACACGTCGCTTCGCTTTGTCTAACGAAGGATGCAGTGTGAAAAGTCGGCTAAAATACTCTGCGAATCTCCGCGTGTAAATCCCTGATTAAGGTATTCCCGAGATTGTATCTTCGGAGGGTGTCACGCCTGGATGCTTATACTCCCGCTTATGTCCGAAAATTTGGGCTGGGATGAAGCGGGTGGCAGCGGTCACGACGACCCTGCGGAATAAATGCTCACCAGTGGTGACGTCTGATGGAGTGAGAAGAGCACTAAAGGTGTTCTCAGTGAAATACGTGAAGCCGGTCCAGTTAGCTTTTTTGAAGTTAACAATTGTCCGGTGGTCCGCAGAAACAAAGTCGGGAGGCCTGTCAAGCGAGAGTTGTATGGGCTAGTGGTCCGATGCTAGTGTCAGTATAGGTCGCCAAACTATACTATTTATCAGACCAGCACTCGCATATGTTATATCCGGCGAGCTTTAGCAATTATCCTGCGGTCGATGTCGCCGTCGATAAGACGATACTACACGCTGTTGTGCAGTATGAACGCTAGGCCCACACCATGGTCTGTTGTTGTTATTGTAGCGGTCCGCTAACTCCACTTATGCACAGGTTTGATCAATCTAATCGGAGGTCCAGGAAACGAGCTGTTTCGACGGGAATGTACCAAAGGGAGACAAGGGTTAGATTAGTTGGTTTGAGAGGGCATGTGAAGAGGTGGTTAGTGTCGAGCGGAAACTCTCCACATGCAGGGCATACGTTGGGTATCCTGGGGTCTAGTCTGGATAAGTATGAGTTTAACTCGCTACAATATCCAGACCTGAGTTGTGTCAGGGTCACGCGGGTCTCTCGAGGCAGCTCGAACTCATTGTCTGCTATAGCTGGTGGTTTTTCTCCGAGCACGCCATTCACTGGAAGGGAGTCCTTAAAGGTGTTGACTGACTCCTGGTGAATGGCGTTCAGTGCTTGTCTCTACTCCGTCATGTCCCTGCGGAAGCATCCCAATAGGAACTGCTTGCTCAGCAAAGCATTATGCTTCTTAACTCGTAGCATATATGCTTCACTGTGCAAGTGATGCTCAGGCGACATCAGGAGGTGTCCTGTCGCGGTCCTGAGGGCGGTGTTCTGGCAAGCCTGTAGCTTCTTCATCTGCGTCTCGTTCGTCCCCAGCGCCCAGATCGGTGCAGCATTGTTTGCTTTACAAGTTGCCAGCAAGGTTTCTTTATCTTTACCCAAGGTGCTGCCGGCTAGCGCTTTGAGTATTTTGTTGCGGCTCTGGAGTTTGGCGGCAATTGCGGTCGTATACGGAATGCAGGCTATATAGTGTTGCGCTTTGAGTTATTTACCGTCGGAATTTTTGTGTCATCGACCTTCACATCTAGTTCAAGCGTGCACTCCTTCGTCCAGCTGGTGTTTTTGTTGTTGTAACCGCGAAATTATTCCCCAAAGTACTTTTTGGGGAATGTTGCGGGAGTGACGGTCCTTGGCCGGATAAAAATCGGGGTCGTTTCGGTATAAAGACCTGATTGTCGCGGGAACTGTTGGATTTTAGTCGCCTCTTACGACAGGCATGCCTTACCGCGGGTAAATTCTTGAGCCACTAACTCGCAGGGGTTCGTCCAGCTGGTGAAGAGGGTAGCCGGGGATTTGGTTGTTAGCTGTCTTGAGGTCGTCACTATCCTGGCAACATGGTGTCGCTCGCGAACCTTGCGGATTATATTGTAGTTGTAGTTGAATTGCTGAAGTCGGGTCTGTCTGGGGGGGAACGTTCGTGATACGGGGGGTGAGGGAATATTGCGTGGAAGGAGTGTGCTTCTGCTGTAATGCTCGCAGAGGTTGGTTCCGCGCATTGGTGTTACCTGACGGGTTTGTCGAAATAGGCGGGGGCAGACTCCTACAGATCGGCCCAACATACGCATCGCTCCACACACACGGCCGTGGATGCTGAAGAGGCGTTTGGTCGCTGGCAGCATGGTCCACTCCCTGTGACTCCAACCATTGCAGTGGTTGCACCTAACCGAGGTGGAGGAGTGGTGGAGTCTTTTATGACACACACAGCAGAAATAGTCCGTCGGACCAGGGTTGGTTTCGACACCAGCCCTGATAAGAAGCATTTGGAGCAACCCAGCTGCGAGTTGTTGTTCCGCTGGCGAACTTGAACTAATGTAACCTGGTGACCTAAACGGGGTTAGGTCGCCGAAAGGGTGACAGCCCTTGGCCGGATAAACTTTATAATTTTCGAAAATTCCACCTTCGCCTCCCAATATCTACGAACAAAAGTAAAAAAATTATATCATTAAAGTCAGGAGAACAGGGCGGACACACCCATTTTTTCATTTTATTTTACTGTAAACCACCACCCATCGTAAACAACGAGCTCCAGCTTCATCAAGAGATCCTCTTGACCTTGGCACAACTTAGGACTGGATAATATAGCAGGTTAAACTCCTACTTATCCAGACTCGACCCCAACATTCCCAATGTATGCCCTGTTTGTGGAGAATCTTCGCAAGACACTAACTACCTCTTCACATGCCCTCTTAAGCCAAAACATCTAACCTCCCTCTCCTTGTGGTCCGATCCCGTCTAAACAGCACGTTTCCTGGCCCTACCGTTAGATGACCTCGGTGACTTAGATTGATTTTAAAACTGACCCTAAGCGGTGTTAACTTATCCGGCACTACAACAACAAGGGTAAAAAAAACTTATAATTTTTTCATAGAAACATAAAACATATGATTAAAAATTATTACGGGGCTTGATTATTGGCCACATATAATTCTAGATCTATATTAAGCCCGGATCGATAAATTTTCGTTGACCTAGATTGGGCCAATCCACTTAATACCTTATACGAATGAAAAATTTTAACTGAGAACAGAATATGATAAAACTTTTAACATGTTGAATGTTTATACTTCTTTGGCGATGGATCAAAATGTAGGAATATACATAGAACATTTGTATTGCAAACTTACCGGCGCATATATCAGCAAAATAGAGAAGCTCATTATTTTGGAGCAATGTGGTACCATTTTTATCTTTTGGATTCGTAAACATGTACTCGCACATAGAATCGATATTAGCCATTTTAACTGCTGCTCTATTCAAAAAAATTGAGCTGCGTATTGTTTCAAATGGATTAGAACGTGCACGAGATCTTCTTAATTCGGCGTCGTTTAGTTTGTCAAACTCTGATTTTGCCTCTAAAATATTTTTTAAAATTATAGGATCACAATATAAACATTCATCATCTATTGTTCGCTTCGGGGCACCTAAGATTATGTCACTTTTAAGTACATCAAACGACCAATCCAGTAGCGAATCATTGGTTAGCCATGAAAACTTTTCCGGCAGATTTATTACTTCAGATGTATTATCCCAGGATTCCAAAGAAATCTGACATTCGTCTGCTTTCAAACCAAGTCCTTTTCTACCATCCTGTTGCACAGCAATAATGGGTTCAAGCCGACCCTGGTTTTGTTTTCCAAGACCTTTATTTTTTTCGTATCCCATTCTAGTCATCATTAGGAAAGCTTTATCAGAATAGCTTTTAACCCATTCCGTCTTAATTTTTTTGGCCATGGGCTCGCCATTCTCCTCGGAAAAATTAGTATCTTCCATTGTGGCAATAAAACACAAGACCTAAACAACAATCCTACTAATCGATAAAAAATATAACTAAATTTGTTTGTTAGAAACAGAGATGCTTATGAAAATCGATAATTATTCTTTTCATTCATAGCCCCTCGTCTTCACGCGCCAGAAAAGTTTTCTTTTTAAACCTACGTACGTAGTTTTAATAAATCCAAAGAATAAGTATCCTTTTAAAAGTAGAAGTCTCTATTCCAATCGAAAAACTCGAAGATGAAAATAAGGTCACGATAACTAAAGCACCATTTCGAAAATTTTGTATATTGTTAGTATATTGCTAGAAAAACTTGGAACTGAGTACGAGCAATCGATAAGGTAAAATAGAAAGCGGCCAACGCTACGAAAACGCTGTGGTGACAGCATTGGTATAAAGTACAGTCGAGTTGTTTATAGTGTTGCGAAAATGCGAGGCGAATGTCAGATGAAAGAGAGAAGCCGATAACTAGTACGTTCTAGAAACGATAAAACAAGAACCTTCCATAGCGAACAATTCGATGCTTCTACGCTTTCGTCTGCGAGCAGCCGACTGCTATATAAAGGCG